TAGATCAATTCAATACAATAATTAAATTAATCAAGAAAAGAATGGTTAAAGACGTAATACTCCCCAGATTGAAGATCAAAGTCTCTTGTCAGCGCATCGTCAAGAGCGTGCTGATAACGTGTTGATGACATGTTGTAGGCATAATTTACTGAACAATTATGGAGGCCATAAAGGGAGAGGGGTGCGGCATGGATAGAGAGAAAGAGAGAGATGTGTAATTGTGAGGTGTGTGTTATTCCATCCCATTGTGCCTTTATTTATAGTAGTAGGAAGGGTAAAACTTTTCCCTTTAGGATTACAACATTTAATAGGTAATGTAATCCTAATAGGAATATAAGATACATTCCCAGAATTCCTAGGATTTACACAATCATATTTCTATTCTAAATATGACTGCAACACTTCTCGTTTTTCTGAAAAAAAAAAAAAAGTGTTTCTCAACCCAAAGCTTAAAAATCCAAAAATCACCCAATTTTCGCAAATACACTTCAAATTTTGAAAACAATCGTTGTTTAATCCCTCACATAAAAGCACCCCAAATCCCCAAGCAGAAGCCACAACCGCACGATTCATCAAGACAATAAATCCCTATAGAAAAGCCGAATCACCGCCGCCCAATAATTGCTCGCCGCGCTTTTAGTCTCACCTGATCCCGGCCTCACGCAATCATTCCCGCCTTCCTCCTTCTCCCCTTTACCTCTTTAGACAAAGTCCCCTGCACAAGCTTAACAGTCTGTACTCCTTAGTGGGCGCCATCAAAACCTCTCTCTCTCTCCCCTCCCTTCCCCCTCTCTTTTTCTCTCTCTAAAACTTCTAGGGTTTCCGCCATGAACAGAACTGTGCGTTTCAGCATCCCCTGATCCCAAATCTCCCAAACTTCCAATTTCTTTTTCTTCTGCTATTTTTTTTTTTGAAAATGCCGAGGCAGAACAGCAATTTGGCGATGGACCTGATGATCCCCGGAAAAATCCGGAAGCGGGGGTGTTCGTCGTCGGCGTCTTCGTCGTCTTCGATCATCCAGAACTACAGATTCAAGCGGGCGATACTCGTTGGGAAGAGGGGCGGATCCAGTACGCCCGTGCCCACGTGGAAGCTCATGAGCTCCAGGTCCCCGACGGCTTCCGCATTGCGCGCCATGGACTCCCCCAACTACTCCCAGAGCGGCGGCGCCAGGTCCAAGCAGCAGCAGCAGCAACCCGTGTCGGCGAGGAAACTCGCTGCCACGCTCTGGGAAATGAACGACATGTCTCCCAGAGTGAAGGAAGGGTCGGACGAGAGGCGGCTGAGGAAGATGGAGGCGAGTAATCGTAAAGCCAGAGAGAGGGAGAGGATCCCGAGATCGGCGCACTCCGGTTCTCTGCCGCCCCATCTCTCCGATCCGTCTCATAGTCCCGTTTCCGAGGTGGGTTTTCTCTTTGTTTTGTAGTTCTGTTTGGTTCCTGAGAAAACTTGCCGGAATTTTGATGGAAAATGTAGCTTGGGTTTAATTTAAAGTTTTAGTTTTTAATTAGCTTTTTTGAGATTTCTTGTCTCAGCATACTGTCTTTTGCTCATCGTGCTTGCGGCAATTCGATCTTCTTGTTTGATAGCCAGTTGATTGTAAGGTTTTGGTAAATTTGGAGTTTTATATCTGTCTCATTTGAAAGCCTTGTGATAAATTTATAGTACATTCGATCCATCTGATTTTTTTGATATTGGTCAGCATAAGTTAGGCATGTTGGTGGAGAGATTGACTGTAATATTTTCGTGCTACGTGTTGTTTTCGTTTTGTAGAGGATGGATCGGTCTGGAACGGGTAGTTTTCATAGAAGGGCGTCGCCCATTTCGCAGAGGCGGCTCAGGATCACAGACCACCATTCTGGAATGTTGGATTCTCATGGCAATGGCAGTTTGATGGAGGTGAGTCAGTGATCTACTTTATTAGCAGGAATGAGTGTGCCTCACTCTTGCTCATTTGAAGTTATCATATATGCGGATTTTAACTTTTGTTAATTCGAATCAGATGATTGTTTATTGGAATTTCAACTCTATGATTTGTTATATGTGTACGATACTATTTTTTCTCATCTTGTTGTTATACAGGTTGAGACTAGATCTCGAGCCCAGACGCCTACTGCTTCTACTGCTGGAGCCAAGACACGTTTGAAGGATGTCAGTAATGCTTTGACCACGTCTAAAGAGCTACTGAAAATTATCAACCGTGTTTGGGGTAATGAAGATCGACCTTCAACAAGCGTGGCCCTTATCTCAGCCTTGCATGCTGAGCTGGAGAGGGCTCGTTTACACGTCAATCAGCTTATCCAAGAACAACGCTCAGACCAGAATGAGATCAACTACCTCATGAAGTGTTTTGCTGAAGAAAAGGCAGCTTGGAAAAGCAAGGAGCATAAAGTTGTTGAGGCTGCCATCGAGGCCGTTGCTGGAGAACTTGAGGTAGAGAGGAAACTGAGGAGGAGGTTCGAAAGCCTGAACAAGAAACTCGGGAAAGAACTGGCGGAGACAAAAGCCTCTCTTGTTAATAAGGCAAAAGAACTCGAAAGTGAGAAGAGAACAAGAGAGATCATGGAACAAGTATGTGATGAATTAGCCAGGGATATGACTGAAGATAAAGATGAAGCAGAGGAAATGAAGAGAGAATCTGCAAAAGTTCGTGATGAGGTTGAGAAGGAAAGGGAGATGATGCAGTTTGCTGACGTGTTGCGTGAGGAGAGAGCTCAAGTGAAACTCTCTGAGGCAAAACATCATCTTGAAGAGAAGAATGCAGCTGTTGATATGTTGAGGAGTCAACTTGAAGCCTTCATGGGAAGTAAGACAACCAAAGAAAAAGGACGCACTTCTACTCATCTGAATGATGAAGAAATTTCTGCATATCTAAGTAGAGCTCATCTTGGTTCCGGTCAGGATGAAGAAAAAGATGAGGATGAAGGAGAAGTTGAAGACGGGGTAGAATGCGAAGAGGGTTCTGCTGAAAGTGATCTTCATTCCATAGAGTTAAGTATGGGCAACAACAGCAAAAGCTACAACTTGAATCACAATTCTGCAGCCACTCGTGATCCAAGGTGGGCAGCACCTGGTGTCGAAGAAATCAAAGGGAGGAAGTCTACTTCTGGGAAGCCACCAAGAAGAAGCACTTCTTTGCAAAGAAGCATATCAGATGGAGTGGAATGGGGCATGCAAACTGAAAGGCTCCAAAATTCAGGAGACGGGATAGATTGGGAGAGGTTTCCTGAACTGGAGAGGCAAAGGCAACGGCAAGGAAAAGGATGTGCAGAGGAAATGCAAGGATATAAATCATCAAAGGGTCTTAGGGACCAAATGTTGTCTGGTTCAAGGCTTGGACCTGCTAGAGTTCACGCTAGTCCCACACGGCAATGGGGGCAGCCGTGGCCTTCACGGGATCCTACCAACACATTCCAAGATAGGCCTCCCAGCGCGCAAGGAAGTGGTTCAAAGTCAAACTTGGCGGAAGTGAGAGGTGAAGGCCAGAATGGCAGAAGGTATAAACGGTGAAAATTTCTCTTTTTTGCCAATGCCTTTGAATAATCAAATACAGGGTAGCGGTATAAAAGGCCATGCTTGAGGAAAGTGATTTCAATGACGAGAAGAAGCATTTTGGCCCATCGATGCTTTTTGCTTGTTGTCACCAGGAGCTGCTAAGTTGCAGTAATTGCTGCTCATTTTGCGCTGCACCAACGCCGTTCTCGCTTAAGAAGCTGGTTTTGTAGATTTTTTGAAGAAAGCTGTGACAATCTAGTGAGCTTGCCCTGTACAAAAGCTTCTAGCATTTATGTCTCAATTTTATAGAAACATTATATATTTGCTTCTGTTTTTTTGCCCTTTCTAATTCTCTTTCCTTTATGCTAATTGTAATCTGTCTTTACCATATTTCCTGTGTTTTTTGTATACAGTAATTTTACAAGGTTTTGCGTGTTTGAAGGAAAATTTGCTTCCGGATCAATCTTGGATCACATGTACCACTAGCCAACAAATAATTTTGCGGTATAACCGGTTGTTTATAATTATGTGTCTTTTTCTTTACATAACACGAAGTTATATACAATCGGTCTGAATTAAAAAAACCGGTAATGCCTAACAATCACTCCAAATTCAGTGAACTTTGACTGTAATTAGAACCCTTTGAATTTTTAATTAATGGTCCACGGTCGCTTTTATTGTCACAGTTTATTTTGTGCGCTAATTTAAATCTAGTGGATATGGTTAGGGGAGAGCTTTTCAGTTAAATATATTAGATTAGGGAATAATGGAGGCAGGAGGTGCCTAATAATTTAAGGGAATTTGTGTGAAGGGTTTCCTGCATGTGCAGTTAGGAAGGGGGAAGACCATTGCACATGTGAACAACTAGGAGCAAACAAATATTAGAACTAATAAAATTATAGGATAAGTAGATGCACAGGATTTTTTTTTGAGAAAAAAAGCACTTTCTACCAACAGTTTACGAGATTTTACAACTTTTTTTGCTTTCCCCTGTTTGACTGGGGCTGATTCCACATACTAATCTAATGTTGGTTTGATTAACTCTGTATAATTTAAACAGAATACCACCGTGACGTCTCAGACTAATAATACAATATTATGTGAGAAAGTTAAAACATATAATATTGTGTCATTGGTATATGCAATGCAACAGCGACATCTTGAGGGTGTAAGTGTCACGTACCAACCCGTGGTTTTGGTGGTTGCAGATGGTGTTGTGGTATTGGAAGAAGTCCTTAACCACTTAACCACCAAAGCAATCCATCACTTAGCCTTTGATAGCCCTTAACCACTAGATGCACAAATGTTAGTTCACCTTACCAAATACAATATTATGATTACATCTTATATACAATTAGATACGAACCACGTGACGTGATTTATGCACTTTCATTTTCTTTGTTTTTGTCCTTTATTTCTCATTTGATTTATTCAATTCAACGACTATAAAAGAATAGAAGAAAAAAAAAGAGATTAAACATATCATGCATGAGAAGAAAAAGAAATGCGGAAATTATTTCCCATGAATGATATATCTTCATTTTTATAAATGGATATAAACATTTCAAGTTACAACATGAGTTATTCACTGTGAATATAGGTCAAAAGCTCCTAATGCGTCACAACAGCATCAACATTATCCAAATATGAGAGTGCAACTGCAGCATGAAAGGCTGCTCCAATGGGAAGAACCTCCTCATCAATCACCAGGAAGGGTGAATGCAAATCTGTTTTCGATACAAACGTCGCGTTCTTCGTCCCAATCATGAAGAATGCAGCAGCCATTTTTTCTGCATAGAAGCTAAAGTCCTCTGCTCCCATACCCATTGGAAGTAGCTTCACATTTGGTTCCCCGAGCAAAGTTTCTCCAACACTCTTTGCATGTTTGTACATTGCTTCATCATTAACCGTGGCAGGATAGGGCCTCATTTTTTCCAGCATGAAGTCTACCGTTGCTGTGCACCTATGCACCGAAGCTTGCATCTCTGTAACCTGCCAGTCATCATACGCATTTAGATCAATGTTCTAGACTAAGAGTCTTGACTCTCGACTCTTGATAACATGTCAAACTGTCTAGTCTCATAAAACAGCAAAATTTCAATCACATTCCAACTAGTAACTGCTTTTAAACTGCAAGTTAATCTGAGAAATTACTTCCCTTCTTTGTTAACGTAGAACAATTGTATACTGGTTTAAATTAAATTAGACCTAAGATAATACCTCTTTAATCCTTTGCTGAAGGTAGTATAGACCTTCGGAAGTCATGCTTCGAAACGTGCCTTTTAATGTCACCGTCTCTGGGATTACATTTCCTGCTTGGCCACCATCAACAAACCCCACAGTTACGACCTGTAATAGGTCAGAAATGAAAAAGAAATGAGTACTCTTTTAGGTGATCCGCACCGTGTATTTCTGAAGTCTCCAGTTAAAGATTATCAAACCAGAAGCACTATTTCGACATATCATTGTTATTCAATAAATAGACGAACACATTGTTTCTATATTTGGCGGAAATAATCAGTCCAACAGTTAAACTAATTTCCGACTTGGCCGATTGTTTGCAAGGACGATGATTTAGAAAACTGAGGAGAAGATGATGCATGTAATTACACATACCCTGGACTCTAGAGGGTTTGTTTCTCGAGATACAATCTGTTGGAGGGAAATGATGGTCAAGCAGGCAGCAAGAATCGGATCTGTGGCCAAATGTGGAGATGCAGCATGCCCACCTTTCCCATGAATGGTGACCAAAAACCTACCAGCAGCAGCAAGCATCGGACCAGGTCTCGAACCAATAGTTCCGACAGGCATTTCCGGTGAAATATGCAACCCAAGAATGCCTTGAATGTTGTCAAGGGCACCCTCTTTTATCATATGGTAAGCCCCTCCACGGCCCTCTTCTGCAGGTTGAAAAACAAGCTTGATTGTGCCCTATAAAATTGTAAAGTTAAATGCAAAGTGTAAACAATGTGTATAACTGACAAAAAAATAATGGAAAAGATTTGTGCATATATTAACTTCAACTGGTTTCTGTGTTTACCTTTATTTCTTTGCTTTTGCGTTGAAGTAACTTAGCAGCTCCAAGCAGCATAGTTGCATGAGCATCATGCCCACAAGCATGCATTTTTCCAGGGTTCTTGCTCTTATGCTCCCACTCAACCATTTCCTAACAAACAAGAAAACCTATCTAATCTTTTATTTTTATTTTTTATTTTTTACAATAATACTTTTTCATGACACCTACAGACGACATTACTGATTGCCTCTCTAATAAAAGTGTACGTCATGCATGCATGCAAGATCCACATGTACTAAGCAATGTGGTCAATAAATGTGATTGAAATAACATCATTCTTTTTGTTAATGTTATATTCAATAAATGTGCTGTCAAATTAAAATATGAAGTGATTTTCAAACACTATTTTCTTACCTGCACACCTTAGTTTTAGCCTTTAGGTTGATCAAAATCAAAGAATATTCTAGGTGACACAAACATACATGGATGTGCACAGTGGCGGAGCTAGGAATTTACAACAATGGGGTCAAAAAATAGTTTAAAAAAATCGATCATACTTTTATTTAAAAATAGCTTTCAAATATATCAAAATGGAGATTACAAATAGACAATAGAGTGTTTAACTTTCAAACTCAAACTACACATACATTGATAGCTCTCACTCAAACAAAAAACAAATGGAGAAGACGAAAATACATTACAAATTCCTCTCCCAAAAGCTACCGAAAGTAGTACTAATATGAGTGATTGCTTATAGCACAAATGAAGCAGCCCAAGGAGAACATTAAAGGGATGGAAACCAAAAGCATTAGAAGGATGGAACCAAAAAACAGCAAATGGCCCACTAAATTTGGCCATAATTCATCTGTTGCTGGTGGTATAGAGGTCAAATATTTTTTCACAAGACAAAATTTGGAAACTTATTGGGGTCAAGGGATCCCAATGCACCCCCCTTGGCTCCTCTAGTGGATGTGCATAAGAAGAGAATGGTGTGTGAAATACTTCATGATTCAATGTATCTAACTGTTTAGCCCTTGACTTTTAACAATTGGCACCTTATTACCATAAAGATACAAATTGTTACACTTATGGCCATTCCATCCGTCGAGCTATCAACTAACTAGTACAATCGACCATAAAATTAACTACCTGCTAATTTTTTACACGACACTTGGTCGACTTTTTGCTTACATGAACATTAAATTGATACAGCATATGTCACCATTCGTATGTATCCATATCTAGAAAAATTCTTATTTGTTGTTCACATAAAGTTAGTTACTCCATTTATTATGAATCTCATGATCTCCATGCAAGCAAAGATAGGTTAACCGAGTGCTACGTTGAAGGAATAAAGTTAACATTTAGTCTAACAAGAGGGGCCACGAGTGTAAAATTTTAAGCGGGACCAAAATGTTATTGACTTAATTAGAATGGTGCAAACTGCAATTAATACTTATCAAAAAGTTGTGACAACAGAGAGGGAGCGAAGTTTGACCAACCTGAATCGGGAGAGCATCCATATCGGCCCTGAGAGCAAACCATGGCTGCGACCCCGAACCAATAGAAGCCACCACCCCGGTCTTCGCCACCGGCCACGTGTACCCGATCTCGAGCGAGTCGAGTTCCGATCGGATGAGTCGACTCGTCTCCTCCTCCTCAAAGGCCAGCTCCGGGTTCTCGTGGATTGTCCTCCTAACCCTCTTCAGCCAATCAAAGAACTCGGGCTCCCGCGCCGAGTCCATCAGCTCTCGAGTGAGTTGACTCACCTCCCACCTCGAACCGGCCGCCACTGAACCCCATGACGATACGTGGTTTGTGAACGTAAATAACAATATCAACAGCCGCAGCCACTCCATGAACGTCTAACTATTCAGTAACCAACCAACATAATTTGTATTTATGTTGAGTCTGGTCCGGAAAAATGATTAAATAACGCAGAAATACTAATCACAAATTGGAATAGGATCCTCTCTCCTGAGCTCGGGATGGATTCTCCTGACCACAAAATCTGGACCGTTTAAATTTAATCCAACGGATCTAAACAGGAATTCTCTAAAAATTATAATAATTTTAACCGTTGGATTTAATTTGAATGGTCCGGATTTCGTGGTCAGGAAGATCCCATCCTGAGCTCAGGAGAGGATCCTCTTCCTCACAAATTAGTGACCAAGGTATTAAATATCGGTAATATCGGAAATATCGGTAGTCCGAAAACACGGAAATATCGATGGAAATATCGGTAAAATATCGATATCGATAAAAATTACATGGAAACCACGGAAATTGTAAGAAAAACTTGGAAATTTTAATTGAAACTTTGCAAGATGTTTATTTAGTCAATTATCTATTAGTTTATCATAAAAAATTGGAAGGAAATGCATTGCATGATGGATTTAACTGATTTAAATTGATTATATAGCGAGCTGGCAAACATTGTGAGTGTAAAAAATATGTAGTAATTAATGAAAAAAGTTTAAAGACACCACAATCATTATATACAATGAATTAGTACAATATTTTACACTTTATATATTGCATTTTTTTTCTCTCAGATAACACACACAGACTGACACATAGCCTGGATATTTTGAAAGCAGGTTTGGATTTTTTTTTTCTTCTCTCGGATAACACACACACACCCCACTTCTACACACACACGCACAGACACACTGTAACAACCCAACCCCAAATTTTTATATATTTTCGTGGTTCCCCAAATAATTATGAAATTATCGTTTTAGTCCCCTATCTTAACCAAATCTGGACCATTCATCTTGATTTCCAAATTCTCTCAAGCTACCACATGGCAGCACCCTAGCACCCTCACGTATCTCTCTCTCTCCCCACCCCGTGACCTCTTTCTCCTTCTTTCTTCTCTGCACTCACTCTCCCTCTCTCAAAGACCCTCACTCTTTCACCCTTTGACCCACACCCGAGAGCACCCACGTACACCCTTCGTGGTACTCCGTCGACGGCATCGTCATCACCTTCTACACGCCGTCGTCTCTCTCTCTCTCTTTCTCTCTCTCCCGTCGCTGCGCAACTCGATGAAACCCCAAGAACCTCCGGCGAGTTCTTCATGGGTTATGGTTAGGTAAGCCTCGAACCTCTCTTTCCGTGTTGGTTTGTTGCTTGGATGTGATTATTGAGGTTATTCTATCCTTCTTACCAAGGATTTAGCACGGAATCAGCCCGGGAATAGGCGCACCCATCTCCGGCGAGACCGTGGGTGTCGAGAGGTTTTCCGACCACCACGGGTTGTTTCACGGCAAATGGAAGGTATAAACGCACTCCTTTGGTCTCGTGCTTTTGTTTGATACCTAGATCGGGGTCTAGAACCCTTGTTTGTGGTCGGCCGGAGCTGTAGAAGCTCCGGCGTTCTTCTCCGAGTAGCACGGTTAAAAAAATATCGCGATATTTCCAAAATATCGCGATATTATCGATATTATCGATAATATCGCGATATTTTACCGAAAACCATTTGGATACCTATTTAAATATCCATTACCTGAAAAACCGATAATATCGGCGATATTTCGCCGATATTATCGATATTTTCTTCCATGTTAGTGACAACGTAATTTGATAATGACTTTCTTGTTTGAACTTTGACGGCTGAGACAAAAAGATGAGTTCGGGTTAATGACGTGTTAATGTATCTTTGTGTTTATATTTGGTTATCTCTAATATAAATTCTAATTTATTTGTGTTTATCGATGACAACTGTCGTTTGTTTGAGGGCGAAATAATAACTTACTAACATTCCTTTGATAATATTAGGTACAGCATGAATAAGGTGGCCTCACTTTAGAAGAAAACTGCATGGAACAAAACTTCGGAATTGGAAAAGAGTTCAATACATGGCAAAAACAGTCAACCATTATCTGGAGAAAGGCATCATGTATAGGATCAATAGGAAAGTAAAGCCGATAGTGAGGGCAAACTTGGCAAGATGAGAAACTCCATTACAAGGCCTAGAGGTGTGACTGATGCTTGGGGTAGGCAAAAATCCGCTAAATCGATGAACCGCGAAAAAAAAAAACTCGGAAAAAAAATCATGTTGATAAAGAAAGTCAATGTTAAAAAATCAAACTGAATCGAACCGGAAGACTAGTTAAACCAAATTAATCTATTATCCTGTTTTCTTTTGAAGAGATTTCCCTTCATAAGAAATAATGGACATATTAAACGAATGTTTCAAAGGGAGTTGCAAATAGTAATTGAGCAATAGTTAATTAAAAGAAAATTATATCGGAGAAGATTGAGAAAGTATTGGAGAAATAGTTAAAAGAAAAAAGTAATTGAACAATAGTCAAAAGAGAACTGGTACTCTCCTTCTTCTCCGTCTCCGTCTCTGTCTCTCTCTGAGCAATGGCATTCTCCTCAGTACTCTATGCAGTCACAAGAAGGAGCAACTTAGCAGAAAATTATTCAATCCAATTACTAAAAATAAAGAGAAGTGCATGAAGTAAAAAAAGAGCACGGTAGTCATTTCATCTCCTTAATTTGTCCAAGGTATAGATTTATGTGTAGACGCTAAGCCAGCTAAGGCAAATCTTCGGCTCCCCCACCATTTGGTTGAGGAGCCATTGAGAACATGATTCAATTTGGCCATGGGAGTCAATGTGTTCATTTGTTCTAATAATTGCATCATCTGTTATATACTAAAAATGCTAGTCAACTTGGTTAAGTTTGAATCTGCTAGTGCAGTTCATCAATGTGATTCATCTAGAATCAACCTTACGAAAAAGTAATTGAGTTCTAAAGCGTGTTTCATAACCCTACATTTAGATGAAGAAATTGCAAATTATGAAAATTTTAAGATGACGGAATATAGATCCTCATTAATCGAATACTCTGTCAATAGAAAATCCTACTGTTTGGAGATTATGTATGTTGAATTTTCAAAAGTAATTTATTTTGTAACTGAATGCAGGCTAGAGGGAAAGGTGACACTAATTACTGGAGAGGAGCCAGCAGCATTGGAAAATGCACAGCCAAAATCTTTGTCCAGCACGAGCCTAAGTCGTCATTGCAGATGTCCACGATGATCTGGGCCATTCAGTCCGCGAATCCATCAGCCCATCGGACTGTATGTTCGTCCACTGTGATGGCACAGAGCCTAAATAAAAAACGTCGTACACAAAGCACTTGCCACATACGGAAAGCTAGTCATCATGTTCAACAACACAGACATAGTTGACCTGAACAAAGTGCAAATCATCGACAATGACAAGGGGATTTCGAGCGCGTGCTTAGCATCAATGTCACCGGAGTTTTCCTCAGCATATTTTCAACTTCTAGCATAAGCTTGTTGTTGCGAGTTATATATTAGTTAGAGTGTAAATAGTAGTTTATTGTCCCACATTGGTGAAGTACATATGTAATACCAATTGTAACTCCTATATATACTCCACTTTGGAGATTAATGAATATATAAGAAATTCCCAAATATTGTCATATATATTTTTGGTATTTACCATGTTTAGTTTAATATTGGTATTTACCATGTTTAGTTTAATATGGCATCAGAGCAGTTCGCTCTTGGTGACCTGTGTGCTTTAATTTTGTGCCCACATTTTTTGTGATTTCCTTCGTAAAAAAAAAAAAAAAGTGAATAGTGGCGCGCTACAATACAGTGCGTGAACAGTAGTCTGCTTTGTGAACAGTGGTCCTCTACAGTGCCGCCACTGATCATGTGACTAGTGACCCTAGAGTGTTTGATGAGTTATGTGACTATATTCGTGATCCGTATGTTACTAGTGCAAATGGAGGGGTGAAGACACTATCTCTCTGACTCCAACCTTATCATTGGTCCGTACTTTACTTGTTCCTGATCTTAAGTGCAATCTTTTGTCGGTAGGAAAACTTATTGATACCTTATATTGTTCTGCTCACTTCTACCTTACGTATTGTTATTTTCAAGATATTCAAACTTAAAAGATAATTGGTCATGGTAAAAGAATAGGAGGTTTGTACATTTTGATTATGGAGGATACTGTTGTTTCTGGTTCGAATAATCATCAAGTTTTAAGTGCTAAAGTGGATGACAGATATCAAATTTGGTTGTAGCATCGACGATTGAGACATCCATCATTCAGTTATATGAAACATCTATTTCCTTCTTTGTTTCGCACTTGTAGTGATTCAGAGTTCAAGTGTGAAACATGTGTCATGGCTAAGAGTCATCGTGCTTCATTTCCAGTAAGTGATTCTAAAGCTACTTTGCCATTTGATTTGATACATTCTGATGTGCAGGGTCCAACGAAAGTTACTTCTAATGGATTCTGTTGGTTTGTTACTTTTATTGATGATTGTACTCGGTTAACTTGGGTGTTCTTGATGAAGAATAAGAGTGATATTCCGTTACTTCTTCAAGAATTTTGTACAATGGTGTCTACTCAGTTTCAGACCAAAGTTAAGGTCTTTAGGTCTGATAACGAGGAAGAATATGTGAATCATACTTTGGCATGTTTTTTTCGTGATCATGGTATTATTCACCAGACGACTACTCCGTTTACACCCTAACAAAATGGTGTGTCCGAACAGAAGAATCGTTAAATAATGGAAGTTGCTCGCTCCTTGATGTTGGATAAATGTGTTCTTAATCATTTATGGGGTCATGCTGTTTTGGCTGCTGTGTATTTGATCAATCGTGTTCCAAGTAGTGTTCTTGATTTTCAGACACCGTTCGATATGCTACAAAAACATGTTTCTCTTGTTTCTGTATCAAAACTTCCTCCGAAAATGTTTGGGTGTATTGCGTATGTGTATGTCTACTCTCATCAGCGGAGTAAACTTGATGCATGTGCTCTCCGGTGTGTCTTTATTGGATATGCTAACAATCAGAAAGGCTATAAGTGTTATCATCCTCTGACTCAAAAACATATATTACCATAGATGTCACCTTCCATGGGGAA